GTTATTTGAAGGATCGCCAGCCATTTTAACTTTCCCTCATTGGCCTCCACCCCCGCCCCCTTCCCCAGATCCTAGGCTTATCATTAATTGAAAACTTTTTTTCCTCCCCCCTTTTGGCTGCCGCCGGCAGCTGAGAGCGATGCAATGATTCTCGCAGCATATGGGAAAGGGGAACGCGCCGCTGCCGCTCCGGCGCAGCGCCCGTCTGTGCAGGGTCCGAGGCGTGACCGGCGGCGCGGGGCCGCCTGTGCCGGGGGGCCGCCCCCGGTGGAGCCCCGCCGCCCTGGGGGTGTCTCCGTGGGGCGCAGCGCGGCGGGCGGCAGTGCGCGGGGCGGGGAGGATGCCCCGCTCCGTTGTCTTGGCTCGGCAGCCCCGGGTGGCCCCGGTCGGCTCCGCCGCGCCGCGTTTACGCGGCAGAAAGTCCCGGTCGCCGCTCGACACGTGACGGTGTGGGAGCCGCGGGAGGGGGAACACGGGGGACACGGGAACGATGGGGGGGTGGCTGCGGCAAGAGCCTTAAAATAGTCGCCGACCCCCTCGTGCTGCCTGCATGCTGCCTAAACCGAGATGCACTAGTGTCGTGCATGACTCTATATGTATTTTAAATCGGTTTAGCGATCTCGCTGGCGCATTGTGCTTAGCTTTATGGTTAAATGAAATGCCACACGTCCCGGGTAAAGGTCAAACTTCTTCTCTAATCCGCGGATCCGTGCGGCGGCTACTTAGTCTGCAGCTTCCTCCTCTGGTTTACAAAACGTGTCACTAGTGGTGATGTCGTGTGGAGATTGCATAAAAAACCCCCACAGTATATTTTATTTTTTTATACATATATATATAAAAAGCGCAGCCAAGCCTATTCTTTTAACACTTGTCTAATATTAGATCGCTGACTGCTGCCAGAGCTTTATACGGCGCATTGTAAACGGTGCAGCAATACGGTGTCTCTGAAGTCTCCTTTCTAGCCGTGGCACAGGTCGTTGTTCCTATAAGTCGTAAATATGTAAGTCGGAGGTACAAGATAAACGAGGTACCTAAACACATTCATAAGCATCAGCCCGTATTTAAGCTTATAAATACCGTGCGACCGCTGCCCTTTAAATCAAGCTCCAGATGAACGGGGCTGAGGGCTAATCGAAGTAGATCGCTACGAGTCCCCGATTGCTTTTCACTTCTTTCTCAGGGATTTTCACAAATTTAGAAATGATCCTGCCAGTGGCCTGGAACCGGGCAGCAACAGAGCCGGGGGGAAGGGGGGGGGCTGGGGGGTGATGTGGGGGAGGGATCAGAGGCCGGTAATTTATTGCATTGCTTTTAATATCCGAAAGGCTGGGTTGTTTGCCGAAGCTCCCGGCGCTCCGTCGGTGCCATGGGCTCTCGCAGAGGTTTTTTTTTTTAAACCCCGCTCAGCCCTCCCCGCCGGCTGCCGCTGCGCTGCCGCTGCCGGCTCCGTGGCTTGTGCAGTGGAAACTGGCAGGCTGCCAGGCGGAGCTCGGAGGTGGAAAAGAGTAAAGGCGCCAAAAGGGAACTCGTGCGCCGCTGCAATTCTCCTCCCGACCCGCTTCCTGGCTCGCTGCAGCCGCCGGCCCCGCCGGGCTTCCTCCAGGTGCCCCTCCCGACCCCCTCCGGCCCTCCACGCCCCTCGCTGAGACTTTCACCTCGCCGAGTCGCCGGCAGGCACCCCGGGGTCATGGGGGTGGAGAGGGAGGGGGAAGAGCGGGCTGCCCTGTCCCGGGTGGCGCTGCCACCGCCTCTTTCCCCCGGAGGCACGGAGAAGTGGAGTCTTCCTCTTCCTCCTTCTCCCCCTCCCCGCGGGCATCGGGTTTTTCTCGTTTCCACGCCAGCAGCGTGTTAACAAAACTTTGCTGCTGCTGGCGTCAATGGCTGCCAAAAGTCTGTTGACGTTGCGAGGGAGACCCAAACGTTTCCCTTTTTAATCAGCTGCCCGAGCAGTGCGGTGTGTGCCTGTGCCTGCCTCTGCGGCGCGGGGCCGGCGGGGCGCGGGAGGTGGGTGGGTGTTCCCGGCGCGGCTCGGCACGGCACGGCACGGCTCGGCTCGGCACGCCGGGAGGCAGGTTAGTGCTTGCAGGCGCTTTTCACAACTGGTTTCACACGGCGGCATCGCTGCCGAACCGCGTGTGCGTTGCGCGTCTCACTCTCTTCCACCCCCCCCACCCCGCGCCTCCCTCCCTCTCTTCCTCCCTCCCTCCCTCCCTCCCTCCTCCGTGCATCACCGTCTATATTTAGCCGCAAATGGCTTTATCGGCCAGACACCTCCCGGAGGAAATGCCGTGCGCGCTCCGGCTGCCGAGCCCCGCTCCGCGCCCCGCCGCGCAGCGCAGCGGGGGCGGCCGGGGGGGCGCGGCGGCCTGGGGCGCGCTGGCGGTGGCCCGGTGGGTGACAGGAGGAGGGAAGGGAGACAGAGACGTGTCCTCGGTTTCCTCCGTGCGCTGGGGCGCTCAGCCCGCCGTCGGGGTTGCATAACGGGACCTGCTGCGCCCACCCCCGCGGAAGCTGGGTGTATAAATAGGTGCGGTGCCCCCCACGCCCCTCCACTGTCCCCCCCGTCCCCGCAGCGCAGAGCGCTTGTGGCGCTGCCGGCGTGTTTGGCCGAGCCTCTGTGAGCCGGTATCCCCCAGAGGCAGCTGCTTGTGGGGAGGGAGAGGAGGGGGAGGGACAGGGTGTGCGAAGAGTTAAAAGTCTGCTGCTTGTTGCAATGAAATTATGGCTGGCAGTGGCGCCGCTGCTCGTTCAGCAGACCTCCACTTTTAAACAGTTCACAAGAAGTTCATCAGGGCGGCGATGATTATAACTGCACACACGCGCGCACCCGGGGCACACAGCGAGAGGGGGTGGCTTTGGGGAAGGGGCTGGCAGCCGTCGAGGACGCGGGCTCTGACCTGCCCGGTGGCCCTGGGACAATCCCACCAGGTCCCTGCCACCGGGCGGGTTTTGCCCTTGCTCGGGTGGTGGTGGTGGTGGGACATGGGGCCTCCAGATTCCCCTCTTTTGGCTGGGGACGCTCTCACTCCCCCCATGCAACTTCAGCGTTTCGCTATCTGCACGTGTCAGGGGATTGATGGGCTCTAGTTCAGGCACCTCGCCTTATCTTAATGATGCATTTCCACCGAGGAAGGCAGGCAGCCCCTCGGAGGGAAGCGGGGCGCAGAGTGCCGTGGAGGCCCTTCCCTGAGCCGGTGTCTGTCCCTTGGAGATGAGGCAGTGCACGGGGTGGCTACTAACCTTACGTGGAATCCTAAATCACTCTCTCCATGCTGCTGCTGCCTCTATTGAAAACATTACGAGCGGCGCATCTGGAAACCAGTAAATCTGTCCAGAAAACGTCTTTCCAGTGAAATAACTCCTTTTGAATGATAGCGCGGTAACTAACCTCCGTGGATTTTTGTTTCCTCGCGGCGATTTGTGCGGACTTCATTAGGAAAAGCTAACCGTTGTGGAGAAAGGAGGGTCAACGCGCCGTTTCATTAATATACATTTGTTCCAGACGTGGAGTTTTGCACAAAAGGCCTCTCTGAGGGGAGAAAAAAGTGTTGGGGAACAAGGCTTTCCTGCCGTTTCAGTTCTTAAACCTCTCTGAACGTGTGTGAAGTATTGTGTTAAAGGCCCAATCTGGGCTTCTTCCCTATTAAATGCCAAAGTGATCATTTGCATATTTTGTAGCCTGACAAAGGAAATGAGTTTGCTGGGGAAGCATGGATGCTTTGGGAGACGTTAGGCATTAAACTCCCAGTGGTCAATCGCCCGTTACTGGCTTGTGTGTGTGTAAAAGGAGTATCATGCCTCCTGCTTAAAGGCTTCTATTTTTGTGAGAGAGGAAGAGCTGAGGGATATCCTGTGCATTAAAGGCTCCCCCTACTTATTAACCCAGCATTTAGCAGCAGGATGCAGGCTGAAGCTCAGTCAAAAGAAACGACTCAACCTCCGAAGAGCAATTAAAATCTTGCACTGGAATAAATCATGCGCCGCGATAATCCTGTTAATAAAATGCAGCTTGTCCTGACACTTCGCTCATGCAGCAAACTAGAATTTAATGCGAGCGGAGGTGGCATTAGGCAAGGTAGAGGGGAGGAAAAGCCTTTCTTTCCCTCTCTGCCACTGGACGTGAAAACGTGGTTACCTTTCACCTGCCTCCCTGGCTGCACACGGCGCCGATCCTCTTGGACTGCTAATACTTCTCCAGTGAGCCCGCTAATGATTTCTTTCCCTGGAGTGAGCAGGCATCATTGAATTACTGAAAGCACTTGCAGCAGCAGCAGCAGCAGCAGCAGCAGCAGCAGCACAGCAGCTCCAATGCAGAAGCCACCAGGGCTCCTCGCTTAATCAAATCAAGGGGTGGGGAGCTCGCCAACCCACTTACTATTTTTAACCCCTTTCTCCAAGTTAGTCATGTGCAGACGCTAAAAGGGAGGGTTTTATTTAGATGCCTTCTGTAGCAGTGTCTCTTCAGTTTTAAGTCCTCGTGTAAAAGCCTTATCAGCAATCAGCGTGGCTAATACACGCAGCATGTGGTTGTTCTTACCATGCTCTCCTGCTCCTGTGTCTTCATAATGCAGGGCTTTTGTGGGTTGTTTGAATGTTCCCCCAGGCTCACGGGGTCTCCCTCCTTGGTTCAGTCTATGTGAGGTGAAGATTTGGGGACTGGTGTGTACTTGGCCGGCTGAGTCATTTCTTGTGGAAATGAAATGCTGTGGAGAAACTTTTATTTGTCGATAGTCTGGAATGATTCTTAATTTTCTGGATGTGCACTGGGGAAAAGATCCATCTCCTCTGACCTATAAATGCCCTCAATTTGCTCCTTTATTGCTGGGTATCTCCCTGAGCGGTTAACGTAGGCAGCTCACTCCCCACACCAATCCTGCATTCATTATTAATTACCCGGAGGGAGGCTGGCTGCTCCGCTGTGATGTTTGCACTTCCTCCTAGACAAATCTGCTCAACTTTTTTTTTTTCTTTTTTCTTCTTCTTTTCTTTTTTTTTAATAGAATATAAAACCGTGAAGAAAAGCGTTGATTTTTAAGAAGACGTCATGCTTTCTGCAACTCCCCTGTATGGCAACGTTCATAGCTGGATGAGCAATGAAAGGGTCCGCATGTGTGGAATTAATGAAGACAGGTAAATATTTAAGCTTCTGGCAAGTTAAAGCACACTGTAATTCTGCAGAGCGAGGTCTCGGAGTTTGCTCGCTTCCCTAATACTGGAGCAGAAAGCTGCCACCCTGAATCGAGATCAGCCCAGCTTGGAGGGAGGGCAAAGGGAGAGAGTCAAGACGTGCCTGAGAGCAGCAGAGCAGATGCTGATTTACTACGTAACAGGCAACGTGGGTCAGTGAAGTGGGGACGCACCCAAAGCAGCCTTTGAATGTGCTTTAACAATTAATTTATTACTTTGCATTTGTAAAGGGGAATTAAACCAAATAGTGCATGTTTTCTTGTGGTTATTCTCTGTGGCAGAGGGGGGGCTTGTGCCTGCAATTTGGTGTTCCTTGTCTTTGGACCAACAGCTTGTCATGTGAAATAGGATCAGTAGTGTCTGTCTCCCACAAGTGAATTTCTCTTCCTCCCCATCTTTTTTCCTGCTGAATATAATTCAATTGATGATCAAAATTACAGTGTTTGATGGGATGACACAGGCACTAGCAGGTGTCCCCTTCCCTTAAATCCCAGCTTTTTAAAAAACAAAATTATACTGGACAGAAGCTGCAGATGCGCCTCCAGTTCTCTGTGCCAGTTTTGTGTGGTTTTAGTGCTTTTCTCTCTTCTCGTTCTCTGTTCTCACTGTTGTGTGAAAAGCCTCCAAAAAGCTGGTGGAAGTTTTTGGTCTTTGCAGGGAATACTATTTGCAAACATAAGCTGAAGGAAAACAGCCAAGCATCTCACTTTGCTTTCTCACCCTCCATTCCCACTTTCCTCCCAGTTGTTCAGGGATAATAACTGTGTGTGCTACTTGCAGGGAAGGTGAATCTTTTAAAAACAAATGGATTAAAATCACATTTCTGCTTTATGGTGATGATGTGCCTTTAAGCACTTTGATTGAAAGGAGTTCTTTTGGGTAATACTGAAACTTTCCTTCTGCTGCATGTCAGTGATTTTTATCCTTGGGATTTGAAATTTGGCACTAAGGTATATTCTTTATTGGTGATATCTGTGATAACAAGTCCCAGAGCTGCAACACTGGAATGGCACAGATGTGCAGCTCCCTCTTAAGCATGGAAGAGCTGATGTTCATATGATATTAGCGTGTGTGTTTTAATTTTATCCTCAGCAGTGTTTATGGATGGTATATGAGCAGAGTATGCTTAAAATGGGATATTCTCCCCCTGGAAAAAGGAAAGGGCAAGGAGCAAAAGAGAAGACCTTGACAAAAACTGCTTGCTTTGGAAGAGGCTGCTCTGAGATGTACTTGGTGTGTTCTTGTTGTCAAAACCCTTTATGCTTATTTTCAAATGGTCCTTGCTTTTCAAAGTAGTCAGCATGTATGGGTACAGAGGATAAATATGTTATCTCATGGGACTTCTCTAGGGGATTCAAAATATGGAGGTGATATGATATTGCACTGATCAGAGATGCACAGGATGCTTTCAGATAGTAAGCTTCTGTTTTTCAATAGGAAAATCCCCGTTAATGATGGTGATGCACCGAAAAGCAGACTGGAGTTGAGGGAGGAAAATCACCTGAATCACAGTGTGGTAAGAAGTTACAAGCTTCGTGCTGCAGATGAATCTGTGCCTGTCCTTCCCACCACGACTCCTACCCCTGGCTGTTATTACGCGGTCCATTTGGAGAAATGATTAAAACACTTTCCTGTAGCAGCCCTAGTGGGCTTGGGCACATTCAGGTTGTTTCTGTGAAACAGTGAAGTTGGGGTTTTGTTTATTTATCTTGTTAGTCTCTTGATGCTTTGTGATATGTGTTGTTGTATGGCTTCACACTCTTATTTTGCTGTTCTGAATAATGCCATGTGGAATACCAGCATGTGTGACAAAAATAGTTCATGTAGACATTAAGAACATCAATGTTCCAGCAAAGTTGATGAGGTTTTCCTTTCTTTGAGTCTACATGGGGAGCAGCCAGGTGGGAAAGAAATTTGACAGCAGACCTTGTTCATGCTGCATCCTCAGATGCCTTGCCCCGTGAATCATGTGGCAGTGTGAGCCCCAGAGCAGAGCTGCAGTGGAGGGAGAGGTCCTGGAGGATGAGGAGGAGAGGCACTCCATCCTTCTCTTTCTAGTCTCCATGCCACAGCCCACATCCTCTTGCTCTGGGAGGGCTGGGACTGAAGAGCCAGCGGTTGGACAGGACCAGTACCTCTGAGCATTGTCTCTGGGCCACTCTTGGCTGCTTGAGTCCTCACACCTTTGCTCCTGGCTGTTTGAATTTTGGATTTGGAGAGATTGGTGTTGGTGTTTGTGGTGTTAGACATATTTCTCTGTAGGTTTCTCCCATTTTCCAGTGTAATCAGCCTCTGTATGTTTTCACAACAAACAGCATGTTTGCATTGTTACTGTTTCTTGTCCAAAATGCTGATCTGTCTTTAGCTTGAATGGTAGTTGTGTTAGTGAGATGTGAAAGTAACATGCTTCTTGTTCTGTAAAGGTGGATGCAACTACAGCACATCGCATCGACAGTCTTGCAGCTCTGAGTATGGACAGGTCTGGGCTCATGCGAGAAGGACTCAGAGTCCCCAGTAGCATTGTTTATTCCAGCTTGTGTGGACTTGGCTCGGAAAAATCGCGGGATGCTGCGGGTTCGATAGCCAGCCTGGGATTTACTCCTGAAAGAAATCCAGAGATACAGTTTAAGTCTAATCCCCCCGAAGCGGTGGAAAGCGCAGCTGTCTCTGGAAAAGCCCCGAACGGCTTCAGCGCCATATACAAAACACCACCTGGAATACAAAAAAACTCTGTCCCAACAGGGGAGACACTGGGTTTGGACCGAGCTGCGGGTGACAGGCAGAGTCCCCTCGGTGTCAATGGTGCTAATTACCTAAGGCTCCCCTGGGTACACCCATACATGGAGGGTGCAACGCCCACCATATACCCTTTCCTTGACTCACCAAATAAGTATTCATTGAACATGTACAAGGCATTGCTACCTCACCAGTCCACCTACAGCTTACCACAGCACCTGGCTTACTCGCCCGTGTGTACGAACGGTGAACGTTTTTTATACCTGCCTCCCTCCCACTACGTTGCCCCTCACATCCCTTCGTCGCTGGCGTCGCCCATGAGGCTCTCGACCGCTTCAGCTTCACCAGCAATCCCGCCTTTGGTGCACTGTCCAGATAAGAGCTTGTCGTGGAAGATGGGTGTGAGCCCAGGCACCCCTGTCGACACGCACGCCTACCCCCACATCCAGAGCAGCAAGCAGCCCCGGGTCCCCACCGCCAAGCCAGCCCCTGCCAACTTGCCAGCAGATCCCGCGCTGCTGCTGCCGCACTCGCCTCGGCCATCTCCCCGCCTCCCCCTGCCTCCCCAGGTCGGGGATGCCTATGCTGATTTCCACAAGCATTTCCCCAGGATCACCACCTCTCCCTCCTCTGCTGTTACGCTCCCAAAGCCCTATGTGAACATCGGCAGTGAATTTCCACCTGCTCGCCTCTCCAATGGGAAGCTTCCCAAAGGCAGTGATGCTGGGGAGGCACCCCTGCCATCTGCCCCCCATGCACGGAAAGCTGGCTCTGACCGGAAGGACAGCAGGTCTCCCCCACTCCTGGAAAAGCAAGCCCCGACCAAAGACGTGACTGACAAACCGCTGGACTTGTCGGCGAAAGTGGTTGATGCGGAAACCGCTGGCAAGTCAGACCACAGTAAGAAAATTATGCCAACGGTGCTGGTGCATGGGAGGGCAGGAGGGGGGACACACTTGCCAGGCAGTGACATGGTTCAGAAAGAAACCATTTCTCCCGGGAACAGCTGCCCCATCTACAGGCCTGAAATTATCAGCACGGCGCCATCCTCCTGGATCGTTCCGGGTCCTAGCCCCAGTGAGGAGGCTGGGAAGAATGTCCAGCTAAAAAACAAGGCACTGGACTGGGTTATGCCACAGCCGCGGAGTTCCTCCTGCCCCAGGATGGGTGGCACGGAAGCAGTGGTTGGCAGCGTTTCGGGGACGGTGTCGGCGGGAGGGCGGCCAGCGTCGGCGTCACCAGCTCCCAATGCCAACGTGGATTGCGCCAAGACGGCCCGGAGCTCTGCAGAGAGCACCCCCTCAGTTATACAGCACGTCGGGCAGCCCGTCGCCGCCCCTGCGAAACACAGCAGTAAGGTGGCCAAGTCCTGTGGTCAGGAAGCCAACTTCAAGGCGACCGAGACTGCCCTGGCCTCCAGCCCCATCTTCCTGCCGCCCAACGAGGCGTTTCGCTCCCCACATCTGCCCTACCCGAGGAGCTACCTCCCATATCCAGTGCCGGAGGGGATCGCCATCAGCCCTCTCACCCTCCATGGGAAAGGACATGTCTACCCTCACCCTGTCTTGCTGCCCAACGGCAGCCTCTACCCCACCCACCTGGCTCCCAAACCCGGCCTCCCTTACAGCCTGCCAGCCGGGAGGGGGGAGTTCATGACCTACCAGGATGCGCTGGGAGTGGGGATGGTGCACCCCATGCTGTTGCAGCATTCAGCTATGGAGATGAATAAGGAGGAGAAGACGGAACGGAGGTCACGGTCTCACGAGAGGGTCCGCTATGAGGACCCGGCTCTGCGGGGCCGGTTGCCAGAGCTCCTGGAGGGTGGTGGGAAGATGCATTTCGAAATGCCCAGTGACAAGAGTGTGAAATTGCACCAGAACTCTGGCCATAGTAAAAACTCTGCAAAAAGCGACAAACACCTCTTCCCCGATCTTCTGCGAGACGAGCAAGAAGCTAAGAGTGAAGCAAATGTAACGAAAGCCAGCTTTGCTACAGAAAGCAGTAATCAGACTAATGACCCTACAAAGCACAAGGTAGAGCAGGCGTCTCAGCACAGAGATTTTATTGTAATGAGAGAGGAGTTTGGAAGAAATAATGATGTTCACGAAACCTATAATTTCAAGCAAGCCCAGAGTTCATCAGTGTTCGGCTTAAGGAAAGAAGATTTAGCTGTGAGCCAGCCTAAGGAGAGAGTGGCGGTCCAGCCTTCTCCCGTTTTCTTGGAAAGCGCGCACGAGAGCGATGCTCCAGCTCTGGCTTTTGGCAAGGTGCAGGAGGACCCGAAGCCATTCTGCATGGGGACCGTGCCGCCAAGCATTGATGCCAGCCAGACCTATACCAAAGACGGAGCCGACGACGCGGAGTCTGCTGATGGCAAAATACTGAAACCCAAGCCGTCTAAATTGGCCAAGAGGATCGCAAACTCTGCTGGTTATGTAGGTGACCGATTCAAGTGTGTGACGACTGAGCTCTACGCCGACTCCAGCCAGCTCAGCCGGGAGCAGCGGGCGTTGCAGGTGAGTCCGCGCGGTCCAACAACCGCCGCGCTTTTTGTCGTTATTTCTCTGTTGCAAGTCACAGTTGAGTTTTTAAAGTTGAGAGAAGCGAACACAGGTGGGGAGACCAGGAAATTTTTTTGTTGGGGCGTACTCGCCATAAATGGTTTTAAATAGCAAAGTAAGTTTATTAATGGAGAGTGAGGCGATGTAAAGAATAGTATGTGTGGCTTATAGGTATGTATGGGCTAGCCAGCTTTAAAGGGCTTTTACTAAGATCTGGTACAAATGTTAATGCACGTTAATGCGATGTTTGTGCAGTTTCGAGGGGAGTTGGACAGGCATGCATGTTACCTTGGCGCTGGCTGTAATTTCTGAGCTGGCCTGTAGTGCCAGCTAGCACAGCGTACCCAGAAGTTTTGATTAGTATGCTAAACGTGCCATTGGATGGTGAGGAGTTGCAGTCATGCATTAGTGGGTCTCAGGCAACGCTGGTTCCAAGTGAGCGCCTAGGGAAGTGTAGGAGTGGTATTGAGGTTGATGCTAAGGGATGATAGACAGATATTGTGTAGGAATATTCTTAGGGTGTTTTACTTTTAATGAAGGGATGAGTTAAGCCAAATTGTTTTGCATTGTTAAGAAAAGAATTGGTTTGTGCTTATAAAAATGGATGAAATTATCTAAATGATCCATTGAGTGCCCATTTTAATTACATAGATGGAAGGATTACAAGAGGACAGTATTTTATGTCTACCTGCTGCTTACTGTGAGGTCAGTTCTTCAAATTTTTATTACTAGACTCTTACATAAACCTTTGAGTTAAATTTCATTTCCAAATACACAAAGGGAAGTTTGTGGGCCATGGTCGTCTTTTATTCATTGTACGGTTTTGTGTTGTTGTTTTTTTTTTTTTTTTTTTATTTTTTTTTTTTTTTTTTTTTTTTGTTTTTGTCTCTTTTTACCTCCAAAATGGAATGTTTTTGTTCTATATATAATATACATTTATATATAATCTTTTATATATATATATATACTTATATATGAAAGAATTGTGTGGCTATTTGCTTATATGATGCTAGAACACTGTTTTACAAGTCAGATGTGTTAAAATCCTACCCATAGCTGTTTATCTGAAACCTTGGTTTTGAGTCATTGTTTCTTTGGAAATGTTTTCATATAAGGTAAGGTAAATGAAGTAGTTTTTATTGCAAGACTTTTTTTTTTTATATCAATTCTCTTTCTAGCGTGCAATGATGCGCTTCTCAGAGTTGGAGATGAAAGAGAGAGAAGGCCAAACAGCTACCAAAGACTCAGAGGTCTGCAGATTCAGCCAGGCAGATTGGGAAAACTTGAAAGGAAACAGTGAAAAGAAGCCAAAGTCTGTTGCTCTGGAAGATGCCATTGCTGACCAAAATGACAATGACAGATGTAAGCGAATTTAGATGGCTTTCTGAAGCGTGTATGTGTCTCTTTGCCCTTGCAGCTTGCAGCAAAGCAGGCAAACCTTTGTGTTCTCGCTGTGTTGCTGGTGAAAGTCATTGACCTCATCCTCTGCAGGTGCTGAGTTGCCATGGCTGGTACCCTCTGTGCTTGTTTTGGGGCTTGCAAGTTTCTGGTTGCCATTGCACCTGCTTTTCAGGAGATAGTTAACATCCTGTCACTGAGTTACTGCCTCAGAGAGGTCCTCCTTTTAATTCATGGGGTACTACGTCAGTGAACGCAAAGGTCCAAGGTTATATTTTAAATACAGAAAGGTTATGGGGGAAGACAGGAAAGCAAGAAGGAGTTCAGCTTCCTGAAGTTGCAGTAGCACTGAGATATGCCAATATTGCAGTCTTCAAAGCAAGGATGGAGGACAGAAGAGTGAAGGGAAGTGGGGAAGGATGTGATCTGCCAGGCTTATCCATAAAAGCTGGCAGTAACAACTGCAAATGATAAGAACCTACTTTTCCTGGTGACTTCTGTTGCAGTGGCTGGGAAGTTTGTGTGTCACACGTTCTTGCAGGCAGAGTCTGTGAAATTCCGTGTAGGTCTGTATGTTCCCTCTAGGCTGTTACAGGGTGTCAGAGGACTATGGAATGTCCTAAAAGTAAGATAAACTTGAAAATAAATAAATGGAATTATTTTTTACTATATGCACTTATTTTTTGTTTGCACTCTTGGTAAGCATATGGCTTCTATCAGTTTCCACTTTTTGTTTTTTTGTTGTTGTTTTACCTAGGTATTTAAGGAACGGATCAGTTCCTTCTGTTGCTACTTTGTTTTGAAAAACTTAGAAAAAAAGATCTGTGCTGAAAGCATTGTGAAACAATGACTGCACTCTGTGTGTGTGTGTGTGCCTCTGTGTAACTTGGTGGTTAAGTGTGCTCTTTGGTAGGTGGAGAGTCGTGGCTAGGGCTAGTAGAAAATTTCATTCAGGCAATTTAATAACGTTGAATTATTGTTCTGGTCTTTGGTTAATGCTTTTGGCAGAGAGCATGCTGGTCAATTGTGCTTGCTCAGTTACTCACCTAAGTTCAAGTTAGTGTGGCATTGCTATCACTGAAATGACAGCCTCAACAAAAATTGGCATGGCAGAATAGCAAGGGAAAGTTTTAATTGTGGAAGTGGCGAGGGAAGCAGGGTGGGGAGAGGCAGGCTGAGCCTCTGGAAGCTGGGCAGCCTTTTCCTTCTCCAAGTTATATCGAGGTAGCTGCTGGGAGGGAGGCACAGCTGCCTTTGCAGTCCCTGTACTAAAGCTGAGGGCTGGGCAGGCTGCTGCCCTGGCTGTCCCCTTTGCAGCCTTCCTTGCTCCTCAGAGGGCTTGGGATGCCCTGGTGGTGTTCTTTGTTAAATTCTACCCTGGGTGTGCAGGAGAGCTAGAAGAGCAGTCCTGCTGGCTGGTTCTGGCTGCAAAGAGGGTTCAGCAGAGGGGGGATGATGGGCTGTGGAGAGGGGGGCAGAGGGATTAACAGAGGGAGGGAAGGCAGGCTTGCTCAGGGACATGGGGCTGCCTGTGGAGGGGCAGCAGGGCTGTGGAGAGGATGACTGTTAGAGCATAATTGTATGCTGAAACCCCTCCCCCGTCCTTGCAAAAGGCTGATGATCTGGTTTGTCTGTAAATTCACCATTTAGTGAGATCTCTGGCACTTAAATCTGCTGGCTAAAATTTGTTTGAGACTGTTAAATAACTGTTGGAAGCAGGGAAAGTATGTTCAGTCTTATGTTAGTTCATTCCTCTCCTCTGCTAATTAGCTCTGACTTAACAGGCTATTTCAGACTTTGGCCAAACGTCTAAACTCCTAAAAGCACGGATCTGTTCTGCTGAGGGAGCTCCTTTTTTTGTACACCCGCCTGGGCAGCAGCAAATACTTACCAGTACAGATTCAGGTCTCAGTAAAAGTTTTTTATCGTGGTGGTTCACCTCCTGCCCCTCGGGATAGCAGCTGATAAATCAGGAAGCCGAGCTTCACACCTCTTGAATGCCTCTACTGTGGTGGCTTGGGCTCTCTGTTGGGGCTTGAGCCACCAGCAGCCTTAATGCATCTCTCACTGAGCGACTGGCATAGGGGTGATGAGCTCTGCCTTCTCTTCCCCTTCGCTGAGAGCCAGGGCTGCTTATCTTTTGCCTTCCCTTTGCCTTCAGCTTCTGACCACCTTCAACTTCTGTTTGGCTTTAAAGCTCCTGAACAAGAATGAGCTGATGGTTTGCAGCCTCCTGTGTTTCCTTTCTGCCTCCTGTGAGCGATCTTGCTGCTTGAAAAGTTGTTCCCCTGTGTTTCATGTTTGTCTGGCTCTAGCTTGAAAGTGAAACAGCCGTGCCTTTACCTGTGTAAAGGAGGGAATTCAGGAGTGAAACCAGCGGGCTGTTCTGCCCGCGCTGCCAGCGCTTCACCTGCCTGGTGTCGGCAGGGAAGAAGGGAACTGCATCCAAAGCATCCGAAGCTGTGGTGGTGGCATGGAGCCAGCTCCCAGGGCTCCCTGCCGCCGCCTCGGCCGTGCTTGGCACGGAGCGCCAGCGCAATCGGGGCCCTGGCAGCTGCCTGCCCCCTTGGCTCCTCTAAACCTGCCGGTGCAACAAAGGGCTAAATAACACGGGCAGGTGATGCTTACAGAGGCATTTGATGGGATGGAAACTGCTTTTTTTTTAGCTTGTCCTAGGACTTGCTGTTTTTCCTAGCTGCACTGCACATGTATAGACTTTTTTGGAAGCACACGAAGGCACAGTATCCGGTTCCTTAAACTTTGACTTGGCAGTGAGTGATTTTCTGTACTGGGAGTCTCTTTAAGTTTGAGCATCAAGCCTCCTGGAGAAGAGTAAAAGAGATGGGCTTTTGTTTTGCTTAGCTTTTTGTTTTGCCCCCACCCCCCTTTTTTTTTTTTTAAGGTCCAATTTAAGGCAGGTAGCCATATTAGCTAATTAATGAGCAATTAAAGCCAATAATTAAATTAGAAGTGCTTCAGTTCTCTCCCATCTCATCTAGGCTTTGCTGGGCATCTGAGACCGGGCATCTGAGAGCAGCCGCAAAGCTGCTTTGTTGCCAAGGTGACTTGTAAATGTTGCTGAGGCAATGCTGCTCCAGTGCATTTTTGTAGCACAAACATGATAAATTATGGGATGCATATGTCATGAGTCATAGGATTGTTCAGAGATCAAGTGATTTAAGCTATTGGCATGGACACACACATCAATACTGGCATGTGATGATCGCATGTCGGTTCATAACAAAGCTCTTCCAGAGGTTCTGAAAATCATACCCGAGTATGAAAGATTTAGTGAATTCTCCAAACTGTGAATTTCTTGACTAGGGAGCATAACTTCACCTCTTTATTTAATTTTTTAGCATGGGAGACCCTGCCTATTTAAGCCTTAGCTGGGCAAAATTACCCAAATATATTAGAAGCCTGATCTTAACGTGTGAAGTCATAAGGAAGACGTTAAAGCAGTTGGTATGTGTGAAGGTAAACGGTGCAATGTGCCAAAACGCATTGCACAATTGTTCTTAGCATTGTAGTGAAGTGCCAGTGTCCCTTTGCATGGTGATGCCCTGCTATTCTTTTTTCTTGCTGGCCTGTGTGTACACTGGAACAAATGAAAGATGGAGGCAGCAAACATGTCCTTTGCCCTGGTCAGTTATTACCTTCCTGCCACAGGACATAGTGGAAGGAAAAAAAAAAAGTCTGTGCACTGAGAGTGGTGGTTGCTTGTTTGTGCAGTGTGGTAGGCTTGGGTAGAATGAAACAAACGTGGAAAGCTCCCAAGCAGAGGTTCTTGGAAGGAAAAGTGAAATCAGTTGGGTTCCCTCAGCCCCATGGGATACTCAGAGATGAATTCTGAGGATATCTTAGGGAATTTCTTACTGTTGTTGTGATCTCCCTGCTGAATACTGGGTTTTAGCATTTGGATAGTCATTACTGTTCTTGAATGAATAAATGGTGCCTTGCATGTAAGTGAGTGCAATGAGAGGTTGCTCCAGGGAAGAGGAAATGCTGTTTTTAGCTGCCATGTTTTTTGAACAAAAGAATCTGCAGCTTAAACACTAAGATGTATTTCCTTGTTTGCATCGAATGGGAGCGTCTGGTCTTGTTGACAGCAGTTGACAGCAACAGGAAGATGGAAGAACGAAAGAAAGTTTTTTGGGTAGCGTGTTTGTGCGTGTCTGTAACTGCTTTTGAGACTGTAACCCGTGCACTAAGAAGATACTGCTTCAGACAGAAACAGCTGTGAAGAAGCATTTTCTTAATTCTTCCTTGTTTCAAGATTGGTAGGACAGTGAGAAGTGGTTTGAATTGTTGGTGCTGGTTGTCACAGCTGGTGTGAGACTAGCAAATACTGAAGGCTTGAGGAAGGAGCACATTTAAGAGTTTAATCTCCTTACTCATAGAGGTGTGTTGCTATAAGAACTCAGCATTTATCCTGTGTTTCTGGCTACCTCACCACTGTTAGAATAATGATGATATGAGAACTCCCAAGTATTTTGTTGTTTTCTTCCTCAGGCAGAGAAAAGGATGTTGTAGATACATGGCATGGGAGGGGGGTGGTGGGAACAAAAGCAGATAAATTCTCATCCTTGTTGGGCACGCACATTATGCTTATGTTGCTGTACTTCTTGTTGACATTTGTATCTTAATTTGGGGAGACATTGCGTCTGATCCCGGTTGCTTGCAAAACAGTTTGAGGACAGAGTGGAATCCGGTGGTAAAATATTAATAGAGCCTGCTCTCCATGAGGCAGCCGCCGCTGTGCCAGGGGAAAAAGCCTCTGGGCTTGTGACGTGTCCGTGCAGGATGCGAGGAGAGCCTGACAGCCCACGGGCTGCGCCGTGTCCCCAGCAGGCAGTGACCTTTGTTCTTGGCACTGAAATCCGGCTGCGGGAGCGTGCAGCACAGGGCAGGGACACGTCCTGTCCCGCAGCACAGGGCAAGGGAATGTCC